TAGGGCTAGGATTTTGTAGCATTTGCATTTTCTTTCATAGTACTCCAGGACATAGCTAATCAAAAATAAAATTCGATTCATTCATCACAGAGTTCAAATATGCAATTTTGTTTTTGCTTTTTTTGCTTTTTCTTGTGATATTCGTAAATAAATGCTTTATTGGTACTTTTTTGTCAGTTTATTAGCTTTTTAATTGGTTTTTGTTAATTATACGCATATTTAACATTTACGTACATATTTATCTAAATTATTATTTTTTCATTTATTTTAATTATATATATTTTGTGAATTCGTAGTGAAATATTATCGCCTTATCGGAAAATATTTCTGAAAGTAGATTCTTAGATTTTGTGATTACTGTTTACCGAGTGGGGAGTAGTGGTCACGTAATACGACGTCTGTAATATCGTCGTAATATTATGTCTGGACTTCAGACGCAATGAGAACGATATTTATTGACTTGTTTACTATGTCTAAATTTACAATAATATTATTTAGCATTTCCTAATTATAGGAATTTCTATTTATATTCGAGTGCTAGCGTACGGAGTATTGTCGCGACTCGCGGAACCACGATATCAGTAATCGACAATACGTTATGCCGACAAGGCGTTAATCGTTTTTTCCTGTAATTACGTATTCGCGTGTGCTGTTAAAGTGTTATACCTACCTAGTATCAAAGAAATTTAAAATATTTTATAGTCTTTTTTAATATTTATATAATAAACAGGTACCTAAAATATAATAAAACCGTTTTTAATTTATTTTTTTCAATATTTATAAATTGTACTTGGCTGTTCTAAGAATTAATTGGTGTGGACATATAAAAATGTGTTTAATTAATTATTTTTTGATATTAAAAATATTTTTCAGCTAAACTTCAAAATTAATTTTTAAATCTTTTTTAGTTGCATTTTCCTGGTTAAATGCTTTTTTTTGTAGCATTATTGGCAATTTTTTAATTCCTTTATTGTAGGTTTTTAGTGCTTCATTTTCCTAGCCCTACAGATAACGAAATGAACGTATTGCTTGTGTACGGTATATTTGGGTGGTTAATGATAAAATTAGCAAAATCGTTGCGTCAACATAATATGTTTATGTTGTGTTACATTATATGTAATATAATACGAAAGTTATTAGATGCGTATCATAATAATTTATAAAAATTGAAGCCAGTGTCTACATTCTATTTTAATAAATTGTTATTTATTTTATGTCGATTGCAACTAACTATTGCTCATGATTCCACCGGTATTGGCTTATTTAATTTAATTTCAAATGAATTTTTTTAACTAAATATTGATATGTCAAAAATTGTTTGTTGCTCTTTTGATGGCGCTGCTAATATGAAAGGTGCCTATAACGGTTTACAGTAGGGTTGCCAACTCTTATTTACGGATAAGCGGGAAACCAGATATTTACAAGCGGGACTCGACAAAAAAAAACGGGACAATACTACAAATTTACAAAATCGAAAGAAAAACAATTTTAATCATTTTTATCAGTTTTATTCAAAATTTGAAATAAAATAAACAGAATAATCGTCTTAAGTTTCTTAACACAATATTAATCATTAAATAAAACACTTTGCTCAGTTAAGAGTACCTACCTTATCACAAGACAATTAGTTTTTCTTTTTGAAAGAGTACTTGTCTTGTGATTCGGCACAAAATTATTTTTTAATTACATATCATTTGATATAATTAACATATTATTATCATTTAATAAGCAAAAGTTCTAAAAATAACTACCCATTCTAAATAATATTACACTAAACGCTTATGATAACAATAATAATTTAGATGGAATAACCGATGGAAAATAATTTCAAATGCGCAAAATACGAACATTACGAACGTAATATTTATATTTAATAGGACTTTGACAGGTTTACCTAGAAGCAGGACAATTAGCGTCCCGCGAACACGCATCGCGGGACGCAATATTTGAGCCCTGTATACGGGACGGTTGGCAACGCTAGTTTACAGTATCATTTAAAGAGCACTAATCCATTATGTATATATACACACTGTTATGGATATCTACCACATTTAATACACTTTTTGATTTGTTGAAGGTAATTCTCGTATTTAAAGGCACTAAATAGATGTAGTGGAAGATTTTAAGATCTTACATAAAAAGGCAAATGTATTAAGCTATGCACATTATAATTAACATATTCACGACCATATAATAATGCAAATTTATCAACAAATTTTAAAATCAGTTCATTGGCAATAATGTTATGTGAAAAGCAGATTTCTGAAGAAAGGATACGGATAGAAATAAACAGTAACAAAAAATTATTATAAAAATCCTTTCTTATGGCACAATAATACCAGTATAAAGCAAAAATGCTCCGTATTCTGTAGCTTTCCAATATTCCAAATCATTTAAAGTCCTAGTCCATTTTAAAATATCTATAATGGGATGCAAAGTAGGTGTGTGGAGAATTATCCTAATATCTTTTGATACATTAACACCTATATTTCTAAACATACCTAAGAAATCATTAGCACAATTTCGAGATACATTATAATTTGTGGCCTAAACTCGAATACAATTTTCAACTTTTTCTTTGACATTAGTACAATCTGATTTTGCTACAACTGCACTGTTTTCTTCTCCAGTATTGTTGGTAGTTATATCCTAATATCATATTAAATGCATTATATCTATTTACTGAATTTTAGGCATCAAGATAGATAATATATACATACTGGAGCTTGGACTCGCGACTCGCCGTTCTCCCAATATTATTAAAAACAAGCCGTCCTAATTCCACTTCCTCACCATCGAAGGGCAATAATTCAATTTTTACATAGGATGGACGTGTAGTTATGATTATTTTAGTTTAAAATTCTTAATTTATTTCAATATATTTTTTTATTTCTTTAACACATTAAATGTAGTATAATTAGTCATTATTTTATTGTATTGCCGTGATTATAACTCTTATTCTCAATGATATGAAAAAATATAAAATTTAACTATAAATTAAAATCATATAGAAAACCATGTGAAGTACCTATAAAAATTCCTGGTTTTTTTTGTATAATATGTTTTAATATATCTGTATAATTTATCTTAATAATTAAAATTTGATAAATATATTATATTAAAAAACATTATAAAAAAAATTTAAAAAAATTGAACTAAAACATTTCGAACAGTCTATGCACAAAGTCTGTTATAATATTTGTTACTTGTATATCATGCAGCCCTCTAGCCGTACGGGTACAGGATTGTCAAGCTCTAAAAAATTAAGTCGTGTTCGGTGTTAATCAGTGCAGTGGCGTAGGCGTAGCCCCCCTGAAATATTAAGACAATTTAAAATGTGTATTATTATTAAATCAATATAGGCCTACCACCCACAGACCACAGATATGTGCTTGAGATAGCGATTAGCGATAGCATAAAGATGGACGACGGTACTAAAAAGTTATTATAGGTATTATATTTGTATTGAAATCGGTTGTATTTTGATTTTTGATGTCTAAATTAGTAAACTCTTAAATACTGTCAAGTGCGTATAGTCGAAGTCAGTGGAAATAAGGAAAACAAGAAGTTCTAATTCTCCTACTAACACTATTGTGGAGTCATTGATTAAATAATAAATATCCACTTATATTTAAAAAAATTATAATATATATAGTAAGCTATTAAAATTTAATAGTGTCATCCTCTGTAATTACCTTTTTAGAAATCAAATTAATACTGCAGACTGCAAGCAGGTACCTATTAATTTTAATAACTATAACAGTATAACAATTAGTAATACATTTATTATTGTATTGGTAACATAATTTATTTATTTAGAACGGATTCTATTTGACTAATAATAACAATAATAGTAATAGATCGTCGGGACTCGGGACCATGCCTTGCTAGAAAGAATAATTTAATTTAAAAATATAATTAATAATATATATATGATATTATAATATACAATAAGCAATGAATAACGGCCAGAAATCGGGGGAAATAATTAAAAAATAGCTAGATAAGCCACAAAATAGTCAATGCGTATGGGGAATTTGAGAAAATGAAGTGCGATAGTTGGCTGCTGGGGAGAATCGACTGCGGCAAGGCGGTATTTATAAACATTATATTATGCCGCCACCACGTGGCCGTTGAGATCGCTCCTTGCCACTCTTGGCGGGGACAATTCAATCTGCATTTTGATTTTTGGTCTCTCACCGAACGGTTGTCTTCACAAATCGTAAGTACAATATTGTTGACTACCTCTAGTATAATGTTGTATATTTAATATTTAACTTATCTTTATTCACCGATTAAATGTTAAATAAATGTAATGATTGTACCTATTCAATCTTTTAATACGAATTAATATTTAAAAGAATACAATTTGACGAAATACATTTTCTAAAAATTAAAACATTTTTTTTTTAGCATTCAATAACTTTATTTTGTCTCTTCGATATATCTTCCATTTATGGGACATGCTGTATTTTAAAT